TGTACTTTCCTAAACTGTATCTGACTGAAGTGGGGTGGTGGTGGGGGATGCTACAAAGGACATTACAGGGTTAGTTGGCAAAGCTGGAGCACACCTGGTCTATATTGTATCATTGTTAAATTTCCTAAAGGTATAAGCTACTGTGGCTATTTAATAGAACCAAAAGAAGCTTTGTTTTTAAGAAATACACATTGTCTTATTTGGGAATAATGGAAGATGTGGCGCTGTGGGTTAATGTGCCAGACTGCAAAGCCGTTTGAACTGCAAGGTAGGCAGTTCAAGTTCACCAGCTGCTCTTTGGAAACCCTACACAGGGTCACTATGGGTCAGAACCGACTTGACATCACTTGACATCAACAACAACATATATGCAACTCAAGTAGTAGTTATGACAATGTCAAATGTTTTGAAGGACTATCACATGGAAGAAGGATTAAAACTTTGAATGTAACTAATCTTATTTTGTGTCAGCCTGTTTTCTGTAACATCAACAGTTGTTGTTGTTAAGTGCCGTCGAGTCGGTTCCGACCCATAGAGACCCTGTACAGGGTTTCCGAGGGTGTAAATCTTTACGGGAGTAGAAAGCCTCATCTTTCTCCTGCGGAGCAGCTGACCTTAAGGTTCGCAGCCCGATTCGTAACCACTACGCTACCAGAGCTCCTAACATCAACAGAGCACATCCAAATGACTTAAATGAGAGACAGGAGACTTTGAAGCTGAATAGACTCTTCAGCATCACTCAGTACAGAGAGTTCGACAGATCACGTATAAGGGAAGAGGATGGGCTGTAAGAAATTAGGCAATGATAGGAACTTGAACTACACGTAGAGACCAATGTCTTCTCTAAAGACTTTCAACAGTAGTTGAAGACTAAATGAAAAAACTGAGTGAGTCAAACTAAGTATGTGTGGTCTGCCAGACAGCAGTGTGACCCATGGTCTTATCTATCCTCTTCTTTTAACTCAGCAAAATATGTGTGAAAATGAAAGGTGTAAATGTATGTAGATATAGATATTAAAAAACACACCATTTTTAATGAAAGAAATCAATATTCATGCATTTGTACTTCTGTACAATTTGGGGTAATATATAATTTTAAGCTGTTTACAAGTAACATGTAAATGCTTCAAATATTACATAATGCTGAGAATACATTTCTAGCAGAAATAAATATATTGCACTTAAAAAGAAACTTCATTAGATGTTATTACTTTATAGGATTAGGCTTATAACTTCTTTCATAAAACATTTCCCATGCCCTTCCCCCCACCCTAGCGCACACTTCATTACAGTGACTGCTTTCACGCAACTCATTAAACACACAGACACAGCAAACAATAAAACTGTGATGTAGTCTACTAAAGAAGATATATTGAATTTTTATCCTAAAGGAAAAATAAAAAGAACTTATTTCAGGTTTCTGAAAAGAAAAAGAAAACTAAACTAAATACAGCAAATGTACCAGAAGTAAAACACAACACATTGTATTTTTTGTCAAAGCGTATTACAAGTTCTTTTAACAAAATGTTTTCATTTACTTATTGCCAGGATACTTTGTTTAAGAGGGGAAGGTGATTGAACTTATTTGGGCGGAGGACAGAGAAAGAACCAGAAAATACTTTAGGATTATTTGCCTAATAAATAAATCCTTGCCTATTTAAGCATGCTGAAGAAAGGTAAGTACTGGATTACTGATAACTGGCATGGAATAGTAGCAAAGAAAGGGTTTTATGGTTTTCTGGAATTTGGGGAGCTTGTACTCTTTCCTTTGCTTGTTCATAAAACTCCTTACATTCTAGAATAATATAAAAATGTATAAAACCCATTCTCTACCCAGGTCCTGTTCAAATCACAAATGCAGAACTACTAAAGCTCTGAATTAATTCCTTGGGTTTAATGAAGTAGGTCTGGCCCACTGCACATTGGCCATTACGTTTTGATACTGTAACATGCTTACGTGAAAAACCATGAACTTATTCCCAAATATACTATAACTCATGTTCTTTATTATTCAATGGGTGTGACCACTAATTATCTAGTTCCTGCAGTTATTTTTCTTAGAACAGATCTGGAATTTAAAATTTCAATTTCTAGTGGGTTAAGAATCAGCAGCCAGAATAACCCACAAAGGCCCACTTAGAAAGCCAGCGGCGAACTCATGGCAGCCCCGCGTTAAGATCGAGTAGCATCTGTGCCCCAGAGTTTTCAGTGGCTGCTTGTTCAGAAATAGAAATAGTGCTTTCTTCTCAGGTACTTCTGGGTGGGCTCGAACCTCCAACTTTTCTTTTAAAACATCGGATGTCGGTGCTTTTACTGTTTACATCACCTAGGGACTCCCAGAAAGGCCCAGGTGTGGTCAGTGCCTATCCACTCCCTGGGTCACACATGTTTGGAGTGACTCTAGATTACAAATTCCATGTCACGTGTGCTTCTTCTCTCTTAGTCAAGTAACACCAAATACTTCCAAAACATTTCCAATTTAGAATTTCAGGTATGATTTAGCAAGGGCATGCTTTGATACCACAGTCTAGGCTTGTCTCTTATATTTCTGAACTACAAAATTAAACTATGAGGTCAGGAAATACTGGTGTGAAACTGTATTTCATGGTACACAAAGTTATCTTTGAATCACATAGATTGGGAGAAATGTCATGATCCTTTTGTTCTCTTTTGAAAAGTTCATTGGAGAGGGTCCATTTCAGTAGACCAGTAATTATCAGGGCATTGGGAAGCATTATGCAAATTAGAATCTTTTGTTATTCCTGCTTTAAGCAACAATGTTGTTGTTGTTAAGGGCCTTAGGGTTGGTTCCAACCTATAGAGACCCTGTATAGGGTTTCTGAGGAGCAACTGGTGAGTTTGAGCCACTTGACCTTTTGGTTCAAATCAGGGCACTTTCAACAGGCCAACTATGTAATATCAAATCCCTAGCTCTAAGGATATTTACTTTACATATTACTTGTAGCTGTTTTCTTTGTAAAGAAATGCATGGCTGTGCTTTGTTTGGAAACATATTGCCAGTGAATACTGAGAGCATAACATGCAAAAAGTTAAAAATTAGACTATAGGGTCTGCCACTTTGAGATGCTCTGCCAGGCATAAAGTGAACTTTGGGATACAGGAGAGAAAGGTAAGTGCAAAATCCAACAGCAGCCTTGTATAGACAGGCTGTGTCACTGTGCCTTATTTCATAAACTGGAAACACAAGCAAGAAAGGCATGTGATATGGAAAAGTCTAACATTAAACCCATCAAATAAAATCCCCCTGGAGTCTGATGTGGGAAGTATATATTGCCTTTATCCTCAAATACACATCTACTGTAAGTCACAGTATTTCCATCCCTTTTACTAGTGTCAGTACTTCTGAAGTCAAAGCAGAGTAGAATGGACATCGTATATAATAACCAAATTAAAATAGAGCTTTGAAGCTTTCCTAAGAAATCAGATTAGACACTGTAACTGGAACATGTTATATCTAAAGTTTAAAGACTAGTACTTTGATTGAACCTCTGTGATCCTGGTGACAAAATGTTGCAAAATGTTACATTTTATTACCCTGACTGTAAATGCTTAGAAATATGTTACTAAAAAATATACAGCTCACACATAGCCAATCCGATTAGTTGTTATTATAAACATGAAAAGAAAGTTTAAGGAGGCAGCAGGATTTGAAAATAAAAGGAATGCATGCTTCAGATTTACTTACAAGAACTGTCAATGTTTCAGGGAGTCATTAGCATGCAATTTCATATTATGGACCTAGAACAATGATAAAGGTGTCACTGAAGTAACATAGTAAGAAAAATCAAATGTATGGACAGAGCTCCTCAGAAGCATATTAACACTAAATGACCTTGTCATCTAGTAACTTGTGACCTAGTATTCTTAGGACAGGGATTCACAATTGACAGGTCACTGGCAATTGATGGCAACTGATAACCTAAGACAGACTTACCAATAAAAAGCAGTGACTCCAATGCATTTTAACACCCATAAGAACTGCCCAAGACAATTGAAAAGACAGGAGCCTTTGGCACCCCAGGAAAAAAAATGTCATCCAGAATAAAGTAGCCTTCTTTTTATTGAAGTTGCAAGTGAATGAAAGCCACGTGTGTCATCCTGCCCTATCAGCTGGAACATGTTCCTCCGGGAATAAGTTGCGTATTTCGAATGCCAGCTCAGAAACAGAAAACTTCAGTTTTACAACGTAGCATATACAGCCTCTTGCTTCAAAATTGCTTATGAAAGATTTTTCCTATATCAATGGCAAATATTTGCATGAAGGCAATTTAAGAAGAAAGAAGATATATATGACTGTGAAAACTGAGCTTGGCTGGTACTGGCCCTTTGCAAAATAATTTTGTGAGGTAATTACAACCTACTCATTCACAAAACAACACATTAGCATTATCTCAGCTCTTCCCAGCAAACTAACACGAAGGAAAACGTAACATGCTTAAGCTACATTATAAGTAGTTCCCTATTGGCTCCCATTTTCTACAAGAAGAAATGGACTTAAGTTCATTGTTGATGGTCGGTATAGTATTGCCTGTTTGAAAATTCTCTTGGCCAGTGGAAGCAAAAAGAAAACCTATACACATTGATTTCATACATCACTGCATTAACACAGCATATTTTAGCCACCAGAAATGATGCACCTAAAGATTCATCTGACCAGCATTACTAAGCATTATTGTGCTCAAACATTTTTATTTCTGAGCACGTTGAATACTATTAGTTGCAGCAGTAAGCTGGCTACGAACTTTACACTGAATTTCTACGGAACCCAACAACTGTCCCGAAACTACAGATGAATCCTGGTCCGTGGTGCATTCCCTCTGCAGAAGGTTTTTCTGAGTCCAGCTCTCCCTTTTAATTAGTCCCATGTCCCTAGAGAGCCCCTGCTCCAACATCCCACATCCCAAACCACCCACCCCTGTCCTCTATTTCCATACCCAGTTTGCACATTCTGGGTCTGGAGTCCCCTATTTCTAGAACAGTCATACGAATGGTGTCATCACAGCAGAGGAATGGCGCAGTCCTTGGATAGCAGTATAGGGCCCCTGCTGAAAGTAGTGGTGGTACCGGGGCATGTGAAATGATGGGAATGTTGGGCCGCTCCCTTGCATGGAGCTGGCAATGGCTGATGGGGTCAGAGGCATCCCAAGTCGGCTATACGGTGGCAAAGAACCCTGAATGGGATGAGGAATGGGCGTTGCTATGGATGCTGTACTGGTGCCCAGAGCAGTCAGGGACTGTGGGTGCTGAAATCCAGGAAAACTGGATGAAGACGATACCCAGGAGCTGAGAGACAAATTCTCAGATGTTGTAAAGGCTGACCCTGGAAGGAAACATAACTCATTAGCCTGGAAACTTGATTTCCATGTGAAAATTAAAACTGAAGACCTCTATAAAGATCTAGATATATTTTCAAAAATATTGAGCAGATCTGCAATTTAAAAAGACCAACTTGCCAACCATGTAGCATATCTGTTTCCAGATTAAAAGATACCATTCATGTCCTCTGTGGAAGATAAAGGGAGATGTGGTTGGAAGCATTCTTGCCTTACATTCAGGAGACCCAGGGCCAATACCCTACCAATGCAACTCATCCATAGTGGAGACTTGCATGTTGCTATGACTCTGAACAGGTTTCAACAGAATCTCCAGACTAAGACAGACTAGGAAGAAAGACCTGGTAATCTACTTCTGGAAAGTCAGCCAGTGAAAACCTTATTATCACAATGATTCAATTTGCAACTGATAACAGGGATGTTGCAGAGCTAGGCAGTATTTATTCCATTGTGCATGGACAGTCTGCTAGCAGCAACAGGGACATTTCATTCCTTACATAATCTGCATACTCCCCCAAAGCTGCTAAACACTGTGATAACCAATCTGAACTCCCTTTGATAAAGTTTCAAATGTCTGATATTTGTCCTAATCTGTACAGCATCTCCCTAAGGAAGGTGGGAAATTTGAGCCACAACAAAGCTCTCTGGTTTCCAAAGCCATTGTAAGAACCCAGAGTATGGTTCTCTTACACAGCAGCCTTCAGAAGTAAAACCCCAAAGGGTTTTCAAAGCTGTTTCCTTTTGGAAACAAATTGCTAGATCTTTCTTAGGTACGTTGCTGATGTTGTTAAGTGCCACCAACTCATAACAACCCTGTATAGGGTTTCCAGGAATCCTGGTGTGGCACTGTTGGTTAATGCGTCAGACTGACAATAAATTTTCTGATTGTATATCACTGGTTGGTTTGTTTTGAGTTGTAAGAACTGCCTTGTGTTTTAGTCAAGAAAGTGACTGATGAGCTTATTCTCTATTAAAAACAACAATGATAATGACAAAGGCGGTGTTGGCCTGCAGGTACCGGAGCCGCCCACCTACCCCAGCGATGGTCTCTGAGGCTGGTGGCCCCATGGCCAACCTTACCTGACTCTGCTTTGTCCTGTTTTCCTTCTCTGCCCTGCCTCCTGGTGGTCTGGCTCCCACTTTCTGGTGGCCCTGTTTCCCACCCCCTCACAATATCGAAGCAAGACAATATGGTTTTCACTTCTATGAATTTAATAAAGACTTCACCAGTTTTTAAAAGTGGCAAAGGGCTATTTTCCAGAGATGCATTTCTGCTTCCAGGGTAGGGTTTTGTTTCCCTGGATCCTGGTCCCAGGTGCAGAGGGCTCTCCCTAAGCCTTTATATGACAGTTCTCCCCTATTCCTACCATTAAAAGGTTCACCATTCTGTCTGCAACATTCTTCACTAGCAGAATTCTGTTTCTAAAAGCATTTGACTCCAAGAAGATATTCCTGCTGTCTGTGAAAAGATATATTCCCTGATTTTCAGATTATAAAACTGCTTTTTGGTAGTAAATCATGGACAAAGAACTATACTGACCCTTGACTCAAAAGCACAATGTCCTTTTGCTGGAAAATCAAACCACAGGTCACCTCAGACAACATAATCATTTAAGATTCTAAGGCAAAATAGTAAAACTGGTGAAAATCAACATCAAGTACTATTCCTTATTAAAAGTGATGGTGGTGGTGTGCTGTGAAGTCGGTTCTGAATCACAGCGACCCTGTACAGGGTTTCCAAGGCTATACATCTTTACAGGAGCAGAAAGCCTCATTTTTCTCTCACAGAATGGCTGACAGTTTCAGACCTTAAGGGTAGCAGCCTGACTCCCAACCACTATGCTACCAGAGCTCCTATTCCTTCCTAAAGAAGAACCCAAAATACTTTCTGTGTATTGGGGATTAGATGTTTCATCAACTCCTGCTTCCATGTTCCATTACGTGTTCTTGCTTCCGGCAGTTCTATAGCCCTGAAGTGGTCTTACCTCGATTTTGTGTGGCCTGGCCTTCATCTCCCAGGATTTCCTCTTCTCCTCCGTAGGTACGAATGGGTGAGCGGGCATAGGAATGCTTCTGAATCAGACTCTCCACACTTTCCCTGGGTTAGAGAGTGACATCACATGAGTGTACTAAAAAGTTACGTCATCAAAGGTAGGAAGGTCTTAAGTAATCTAATAATTACTCAGAGATAGAAGGTCTAAGTAATTTAATAAAAACATTTCACAGCTGCAAGGTAATCACTTCCTGGAAAGGTGATACTCAAAATCTGCACTTTCATCCTATTGTAAACTCCTCAGAAATACAAGCTCAAGAGAAAAACTCAAGTGAACCACTGGACAGAGTAGAGCTAAGTCCCTGAAATCCCAGAAGAAGATTCATTACAGCTTCCTCAGCAAAACGGTGAAAGCTGGCCACAAGAAGATGCAGCTTAACGATGGGAAAGGATAATAAGAAAATGATTTTTGCTGCAAGAAGCTGCAATGAATCTTCTTCTCACAGACTTTATCAAGTAATGAGTACAAAACAATCAACAACGATACATATGTCACCAATTCAGCACCTTAAGGAATGTTGGCAAAAAGTTCACAGTATCATTAGCCATTTAAAACAAAAAACAAAAAACTCAAAATTCATCGACAGATACAGCAAATGCACACAAGATTTAGCGGAATGGATAGTTTGGATAAGGGAAAATTAGAACTCCTTGCTTCTTTATGAGTAGACATTTCCCAGAAACCCTATGAAGGAAACATAAATGACCATTAAGAAATCTCGTAGCCCAGATAAAGTGCATCGTGTCTTTGTAGATAGTCTTCCACTAGCAACATATTCTATCAATTACAAAGTGAGGTGAAGTTTAAAGGCAAAAACTATTTTTGGCAATGGCTAGTTAAACCTGCTGCAATGAAAAGGTTTTATTTTTTAAAGCCAACAAGCTTTTAGCAAATGGTATCTGCCACAAAAATAAATAAATAACTATGCAAGTTCATAACCAATTCTTTTATATACTATAGATTTCCAGAATAAAGATACAAAACAACAAAACCAGTTGCTATCAAGTCTATCCTGACTCACAGTGACCCCAGCTGTTGCAGAGTAGAAATGCACTCCATTGGGTTTTTAAAGCTGTTTCCTTTTGGAAACAAATTGCTAGATCTTTCTTCTGTATGTTGCTGATGTTGTTAACTGCCACCAACTCATAACAACCCTGTATAGGGTTTCTAGGAATCCTGGTGTGGCACTGTTGGTTAATGCATCAGACTGCAAAGCCATTTGAACTGCAAGGTCGACGGTTCAAGCTCACAGCTGCTCCTTGGAAACATAGGGTTTCCAAAGAGCAACTGGTGAGTCTGAACCGCCAACCTTGCCCAAACCAATGTTGAGGTAGAGTGCTTATTCTACAGTGGCACAGGTGGCTTAAAGAACAATGCCAAATAAACAATGAAAAGACATACACGCACACACCAACTGTGTTGACTCAGAAAAGATAAATCAGAAGAGGCTTCAAAAACATCATGGAAATGTCCCATTACCTTTCAATTAAATTTTCCCACAAAATTTTGAAGCTTCCTTGTACTAAGTTTCATATTAAGGGACAAGGAAAGCAAATGAATGAATTCTTAATTTCTCAAAATGCAACATTTTTCAAAATTTCATGTAGATCAACTAATTTAATCTGTCAAAAAAAAAAAGTGTCTAAATCATAGTGAATCTGGTATTCCAGAAAGCTTGCATATTCACATAGATAAAAGTATTCCATCATAGTATACATCACGCATATGAGAGGTTAAGGGTATAACTGAAAGAAAAATTAATTGTAGTATCTATTCAATTTACATCTTAGCTTCCCAAATATTTTTTTTTAAATAAGTATACCAAAATGATTAGGACCAGGCAGAATCCATAGCCAATGGATTAATATATAACTGTTAAAAAGAATGAGGTCATTTCATATTTATTAATACAGGATCATTTCTAAGACACAGTAAGTGAAAAATGGAACTGCAAAAAGTGTATAAGGTATGTTTCCATTTGAGGATTAAAAAACAACAAACAAAAAAGGACTATGTGTGTTTGTGGTTAGGTGCCCTTGAGTACGTTCATAGTGACCCCATCTAAGGTTTCCAAGGCTGTATATCTTTGCGGAAGCAGAAAGCCTCATCTTCTGAGGGGCTGTTGGACTCTAACTGCAGTCCAGTGCTTATCGTACAGAGCCACAGCATTCCCTGTATGTCTGTATGTACCTCGATACGCACAACTTTCGACCATGCTTACTGTGCCAAACTGTAGCATCAAGGTCTTTGTTGTTGTTAAGTGCTGTTGAGTCGATTATGACTCACAGACACCTCATATACGGTTTCCAAGGAGTGGTTGGTGGGTTTGAACAACCAACATTGTGGTTAGCAGTCCAGTGCTTATCCCACATAGCCACACCAGGACTCCAGAGTCAAGCCTAGGATTCAACAATAGCACATCTGACACACAGGCATTGATGGAATAAGGCTTTTCACATAGAGACCTGACAGTAAGGTCAGCTTTAATAGTGGCATTGGTACCCCAGGGCCGGTGAGTCACTCCCCACTGCCACACAGGGCCAGGCCAGTGTTCTACACTAGTCTCTCATGCTCTAGGAACACGTGTAGAAATGGGGTTGGCCCATGTGGCATATAGTGAATGACCCAGGTGTCACATGGCACAGAGCAAAGAGAAGGTTTACTGTGTACCCAAAACATAGAGGGTAGGGTCCCTGATAGGGAGAAAGGATTAAGAGAGACAAGAGCTTCAATTTCCCACCTCCATGATAGGTAAATGCCTTGGCTCCAAGGCTTCTGATTGGCACTCTGAGTGGAGGCCAGAAGGCTGCTGGATAGATTGCTTCAGCGCTTTCTCCACAATATTTCCAGAATGAACACAGAAAGCGTCTACAGTGGGTCGCCTCTGTGGAGTGGAACTAGGGGCTCAAGGAACTGGAGCAGAGTTCTCAAGCTTGTCTGCATTTGAACCACGGGTGTGGTGGGGGGAGGGGTGTTCACCATTGGAACTGTTGTTGTTGTTGTGTGCCATCGAGTAGATTCTGACCACCACAGCGATCCTCTGGTAACCGGGTTTCCAAGAGAAGTTGTTTGGGTTTAAACTCACAACCTTGCAATTCACAGTCCAGTGCTTATCCTGCAGCACCACACCTGGGCCCGATGAAACCATGACTATAAGTACAATACACATGTCCAACATCTCCCCCTTGGACTTCACACTGACCTCCTTTGCTTAGGAAGCCACTCATATGATTTCTGTCCCTACAGATTAGTTTACATTTTCTAGAATTTTATATAAATGGTGTCATACCTTATATATGCTTTTTGCATTTGGATACCTTCAATCAAGGTAATTATTTTTAGTTTCATCCATGTCAGAACACAAATCTGAATAGATTCCATTGTATGGATCTATTATAGTTTGTTTATCCATTCACTTGCTGATGGACATTTGAATTGTTTCCAGTTTGGGGCTGTTTTAGACAAACCTGCTTCAGAAATCCATGCATACTTTTTTTTTATATGGACATATGCTTTCATTTCTCTTGGGCAACTTCCTAGGAGTGATACAACTGGATTGTACAAGTAGGTGAATGCTTAGTTTTTAAAGAAACTTCCAACTATGTTCCAAAGGAGTTGTGGCACTTAGCATTCCCACCAGGAGTATATGAGTGCTTCAATTCCTCCAGCACTTGGTCTGATCAATCTCTTTAATTGTAGTTATAATTGCTGTAGGATCAGCATTGGACTGCTAACCACAACGTTGCCAGTTCAAACCCACCAGCCGCTCCTCAGAAACCCTATGTAGGGTCACTATGAATCAGAACTGACTCTATGGCATTTAACAACAACAAAATGACTAACACATTGAACATCTGTTTAGGCTGTTATTTAGTGTAGATATATCTACTTGGTAGACTGCCCATTCATATCTTAAATTTTAAATTAGACTGTTTTTCTATTGGGTTTGCGATTTTCTTTTTCTATAAATTCTGAACACTAGCCTTTGTAGACAATATGATTTGAACATATTTTCTCCCAGTTGGTATTGGCTTTTCTATTTCAACGAGCAGACGTTTTTAATTTTCATTAAGTTCAATTGATCAATTTGCAATTTTGCTAATCATGCTTTTGGTATGTATCTAAAAACTTAGCTAACCCAAGGCACAAAAATGTTCTAGAAGCATTATAGTTTTAAGTTTTACATTTAGGTACATGATTCATCTTCAGCTACTTTCATTTATTATTTCAATTTTGTTTTATTTTATTTATTTTAGTGTTTATGAATGCAACATTTGGGTAACATGCCCAACTTAAAATCTGGTTGGCAAAAATCTGAATTCGTCCTATAACAAAATTAAATTAATCTTTACAGTTTCAAAATTAAAATTTTGGCTTAGGCCTGAGTGAGCTTGAAAAACAAGTTAGGATATGTTTCAACGTATGAATCCATATGTTTCAACATTCTAGAATCCATCTAGAAACATTTGGCAGAATAAATGACCAGGTGCTACTGGTAGTTTTAAGCCTTAGGAAGTGAGACACAGCACATGAAAAGGAGCTAATGACTCACAACACCTACAGAATCACTTACTCAAAACTAACCAGAACCCAATACACAATAATATTCAAGAGCAGGACAAGTTCAACAGTGGCTTAATTGTCTGGAAAGCAAGTTGTAAGCCTGAAACAAGTACCTCAGTAGGAACAATATTCAACGTTTATAAGACTTTGAAGGTAAAAAAACATCATTCACAGATGATATTTTGTGCACAAGTACATTAGTTTTCAGGACATTGGGGAAAACCATAAAACACCTAAAGTAAAAATCTAAACTGCTCAACCTTCCACCATTTTCTTGACTATTAAGCCCAGGTCACCTCTGGCCACTTGCAAGGATGTATTTTCTTCTTTATTCTTGATGTAAATACTTGCTCCTTGGGACACCAGCAGTTCTGCTTCTTCCACTCTCCTCATCACAGGCTAAGTGTCCTCAGTGTCTTGGATACTTGTGGATGCTTTGTAGTAAAAAGGATATGAATCATCTTCAAGTTACCCTTGGTTG